TGCATGTACTTATATGGTGTACATTTTTGTGTCCAGACAGACCACCAGCCTCTGAGTTATATCCAACGGGCAAAACAGCTGAACGCTCGAGTACTTCGATGGAGTTTACTACTCCAAGAGTACCAGTTCACCATTACACATATTAAGGGTAGCGAAAACGTGGGAGCCGATTACTTGAGCCGGATATAGTTCTTGAGGTCTATGAGCATGTTTTTTTTTCCTTCCGTCGGTTGGTTTCTGTTTGTATGTACGTATTTCATTGTATAAGAAGTGTATTTTGAGTTATTTTCTTTTTGCTTGGTGCATTGGTTGTTTTTACTTGCTGTAATGCACATTGAAGGATTGCACTACAGTTGAGGAGCGCACCTGTTCCGTTTTATTTTGTAGTATACATCCGTGCAGTGTATTCTGTATTGATGGCTGCCGTACACGGCTATTTCCTCTTCTTGTTTGTAAGGCGCATTGATATTGTTGCATGTAAATGAAGCTGGTACTCTAACCATTGTTTGTTTTTCCTTTTGTTGTTACTTTGATGCACTCTGCCTATTTATGTTGTGTATGAGAGGGACAGTCCTCATGTCTCCCTTGTTGGTGGTGTTTTGTTCCTTGTTGTCGAAAAAATTCCCCTCCGTGCGAGCAAATGTTATGAATAACATTCTGAAAGTGGGGGGCAATGTCACGGATGGCTATTTTCGGCGACACCGCGTCACGGCAATTAACGGGCGCCGTACTCCCCGACTGACCGTGAGAAACGGCGGCACATGAAAGGGAACCGATAAGTGCAAAATTGGGGTGCTCTCCTTAGAACGTCGCCGCCGACAGTTAATCCTTTTGTAACCGTGGCGACGTCTGCAAGGTCGTAGAAGGCCGCGGTATACCCCGCACAAGGATTAGACTACAAGACGCCCGGCTGAGAGCTAAGTGGTTGACCGTTCCCACGGAGAAAAGCGTGGGAAACGCTCTGGTGGCCAAGCCGTATGACAACAACCCGACAGGTTGTCACTCTCGCTAGTTGCGGGCCCTCTCCCTATTAAAAAGGGGTGGGTCAAAATATTTTTGGGGCGGAGTTTCCCCTCAATTAAACGCGCATGATTGGACCCAGGTAGAGGTCTCTTGTCCCCAAGGAAAAGAGCGAGGAGACACGAGGGGGATTTAAGCGCAGGATTTTGCCCTGCTAGGCAGACTAGTCGCTGACCAAGATGGTGTAGAAACAGATCAACAAGCATCTTTTCTAGAAGTTTTTAGTGTGGCTCTGTATCGGCTGGCCACCTAAACTTAGCCGTTCGTCTAGTTGTGACGCGAGATTAACGTCTGCAACGTAGACATCGGGACTTCGCCTCGAGTTAGCTCAACCTGCTCGAAGTCACCTGCAAGCACTAGCCTCCCGGAGCCACCAGCGTTGCAACACCGCCGACATCGCAGTCGTGCCAGAACTCTCTTCGACTTCTCGCATCCGATCGTCGGGGACACAACGCTGCCGGTCATCACACGTATGCCTTCGTCTGTTTATATCTTCGAACTTTCTACTCCGTAGTTCCATTGTTGTTAGTTTGTGTAGTTTGTGATAGTTCTCTCGCGTAAGCTGATTTATTGTTTCTGTTATATATTTCTTTAGTTGTATCAAGTGTTGATGTATTTTGTTAGTTGTATAGAATTGTTGTATTAGATCCCGTGTGCTGCCATATCACTACAGTAAAGTTTGTTTTGTTTTCTCACGTCTCTGATCTCTTCACTGTCTCTGCTTGCGTACGGAACGAACCAACCTGCTGTCATTCCCGTCGCCGACTTCGCGCTGGCGACGCTTGAGTGGCAGCTTGTAACAATATATATATATATATATATATATATATATATATATATATATATATATATATATGTGTGTGTGTGTGTGTGTGTGTGTGTGTGTGTGTGTGTGTTTGTGGTGACTGTTCTAACCTATACCGATTTGTTATAATAAATCCTACGGAAGTATACATCACTGTCATTTTTGCACACGAAATCCATGTCGAGGCGGATGGAAATGCTTTGCCACAGTTAACATGATACTGTAGCAACTAATTACCAAAGGCTTATTAATTAAAGTTTTCATTATTGACTTGCGACAAGGGTTCACGTCACGAAGTTGTATTGCTGCTACACCTATTCAACTAAAATCGCGAAAGCACCACGTAGTGCGATATACTCCGCATATAAATTGACGGGCGAAATAAAAACTGATCGCGCGCGCCTAAAGCTGCGGAGCACAGGCATGACACGTGATCCGAACGGGTGAAAATTGATAGGAGCTGCGCCAAAGTGGAATCTGGTCAGAAAAATTGGCAAGCATTCTGACACGCCCCAACAGAGATCTTATAAATTTCGTGGAATGTGCAGTGCATATTTATTTCTTTCTTAAGGAAGCGTGTAAGACTGTTTAGGCTGTCTGCAAGAAGAAGCGCCCCGAAGTCTTGTGCTTCTTCCTGGACAAAGGAAATGTTGATATTTCATTTTTCGTGCACACAGTTTGACAGAAAGCAATAAGAAGCACTGCACCAAAGAAAAAAAAAACGGCACAAGTGAGATGACTTAAAGCTGAAACATACAGCTGTCATTGAGATTTTATCACTCTCCCACGTGTCGGGTATAGTTCGAGTATCACGTAGTACAACGGTCGCGCTTTGCGGGATCCGTTTCGATATCGCCGCTCAAGAGTGATGATGAATATCTCGAACTACGAGCAACTTTCGGGGTTTCTAAAAATAGGACATGAATACGCATGCGCTACGACTACATAAACGCTTGCCCTCAAGTTAATAATCAAAAAGTTCATGAACGAAGTTTTACTAATTAAACACCCCAGTGTCTCGTTAACTGCGGCAAAATATTTCTGCCTCAACATGAACTTCATGTGCGGTATTAGTGACTGACAATGCTTACTAAACGAACAAAATCGACTTAAGAATGTGGCTCTGGTGCATAAAAAATGATGTGAGAAAATTGTAGGACCCTTCAGCTTCACCTTGCAGAGTTAAATGCGGTAGCAATATAGTAAAGCATGGTCGTTATTTTCACTGCATTTCTAAGGAAAAAAAGTATTTTAGCTGTATTTCCAACAAGGCCTGTGGCTGTGGAATAACTGCTTGCCAGGAAAACGGCGTGGTTTCAATCCTCACTTGGACCACGAAACTTCTATTATCTATTTTAATTAGATCTTTCTTGATTATTACACACATTATCTTGATTTTTTCACACACATTATCTTGATTCTGCATCCCATGTGAACAATCTGTATCAAGGTAATGTTTTTTCGATTGCATAATTTTTGTTCTCGTCTGTTCCAACACGTCTTATGTATGGCTGAGGTCAATGTACAATATAACGTATTTTCGCAAGAAAAATTTCACTTGCACATTTTAGTGCGCGTTTTTGTTGTTGCGGTGTTTTTAGTGATTTTTTTGTATAATAAATATTTTGGTGCATTTATGTATCTGTCTGCAGTTCTTCACGAACAGCAAGGAAAGTAAACAAACTGACACTCTCCTTTGGCACTATACGTGGGCTTTTGCAAAATGCCTACGAAATAAATCACGTGACATAAATTTTTCCACACATTGAGCAGACCATGAGTACCACCAGTCGTTGGACAGCAATTTTTCACTCTCAAGCTCCACTAAAAAATGAGGGAACCTTAAAACATGTCCGTGGAGTTCAACTCGGCAGTGATGTTGAGTTGAACTCGACACCACGAGTGGTGAGTTGAAATGAAAGTTCATGGTGTTGCCATTCCTATATGCTTGAAATTAAGTTTTCATTGGGAAAGTCGGACCTCAAAAGATGAAATGAAAGTTGACGGTGTTGCGATTTCTAGACATTGAGTTTAGTTTCAATGGGGAACCTCGCGATGCGAAACTTGTGACGAAAATTGATGAGGCTACTATTCCTAAGCTTAACTGGGAACGTTGGAATTCAAAAGTTCAGATGAAAGTTGATGCGGTTACCATTCCCGTGCTTTTAGTTGAGTTTAAATCGGGAACGTTGGGAATGAAAAGTTGAGATAAAAGATCACGTTACTAATCCTAGGCTTTTCAACGAATTTTAATAAAGAACGCCTGGATTCAAAAATTGAGATGAAAGTTGATGGATTGCCATTCCTTGGCTTTGAAGCGAGTTTTAAAGAAGAATGTTGGCATTCAAAAGTTGAGATGAAAGTTGATGAAGTAGCCATTTCCGGGCTTTTAATTCAGTAAGCTGGACAACTAAGCAGACATATTCAAAATATTTAGTTTTAATTAGTTTAGACAATACAGTTAATTTTAGTTATTTTCAATAAGTGTTAGGTGCTAAGAGACGTACGGATAAACCTAAATGGCTAGGCATGACTTCGTGAATGCTTGCGCTACGCTTGCCGTACCATTCTCAGCATTAAAAACTGATTTTAATACAAGGAACGTAGAGGACGCTTGAGTCTGGCCTTGCACAGTAGAAGGCCATGCTCAAGCATCTTCCATCCGGGGCTATTTCGCATCATCCCTTGGTGGAGCTTTAAACCATGCCGCAAGAAAAAGGAAATCTGCGCGCTAAGGACTTCTCAAGCTAGCTCATGCAGCATATCTGTTCTAACTACATTAACTGAAGTGCCTCTAATGTACGCAAAGGTTGTTCCTTATGCTTGCAAGTGAAGACAGCCTTTCACTGCGGCGTGTCTCCTAACCATATAGTGATTCTGGTGCTTAAAATCTAACATAACATTAGAAGTTTTGTCAGGGCAATTTTATTCATTTCCTTGGTGTCAGATTTCACGCTGAGTAAAGGTCTGACCTCTGTAATCTTCACGTAATTCAGCCGTAATTTTGTCTACGAGTAGAAAGTGTTGGGATTGCTAGTAGCGATTACTTTGCAATGACTCCGTTTCTCTTGGCCAGCTGACAGAAGCAGAAAAGGGAGGAACAACGCAAGGGGTTTGGCTCCCGGCACTGGCAAAAAGCAAGTTCTCCACTGTTAGCCAAAAACAAGGCGGGTACCTTCGTCCATGAGCGTCTCCTGTACAAGCTGCTTGGTTATCTGTGCCGAGGTCTTCTTCACGCTGGCCATCTTCATGTTGAACACGTCTGCAGCGCTCGGTGGAGCTTGTTGCTGCTGGGCCAAGTTGCTCGACTGGTTAGAATCTTGAGATGGCGAGTCGTGCGCCTCGTGACTCAGCGTCGGTGATGAATTGTTGCTGTACGCTGAGAACTGTGAATCTGCAAAACACCACGTAAGGTCTCATGTCAATGCGATACCATGTGAAAATTAAGCTGCACTAGCAAGCATCCACTAGAATTATCAAACAAGTTTTCAATATCTGCAAATAAGCACTCGCGCTAATTGAGAGGTGACCAATCTCCACTTGACATCTAGAACAATTCGAACAGTGCATGCCATCAAATATTTGAAGGCAAGTATTATGGAAACTCGTTAACATAACAAGCTGGACTATGTCTTCAAAATGCAAACCTTAATGACTCACACGTACGACTATATAAACAGCGACTTTCCGGCAGCGTCTTTATTTCGTTGTAAAAAGACATTTTCGTTTGCCGCACCAAGGTTAAATCAAGCAACCATCAAGGCATGACACCGGCACAAGTTTGGCTGGATGACAGAATCAGCCTTGGCTGGTGCATCGCGCCTGCCAAATTCACGTGACAGCACATTCTCCCTCAGGCAGCACCTCATTGCAAGATACTGCGTACACACGCAGGCCTACATATAAAGGTGCATGTGTGTGTGTGTACGCCTCTTCCTGTTGTTCATGTCATTTTGTGTGCTCAACTTGTCTGAATGTGATCAACCTACAAGCCCGCATCGCCACTATCTTCGAGAAATGCAGACAGAAATGGTCACGTAATGATGTCTAGTTCTTGTTAATGAAATGAAGTTATGCTTATTCCGTCACTGAGTGTTCCCGCAAGCGCACAGGTGTCACAAAGCGCGTGAACCTAAGTGCTACAAAGCAGGCTGGCTAGTATGGCATATTTGAGTGTTGTTGTAGAGCTGATACACGGAGACAGGTGCAAGGCACAAGAACACACTCAGACATATTGCACTCAGTCACGTGATATTATGGGCTTTCCTCCTGTCCCTGTTTGTTTTGCGCGACGATATAATTTGAAGTTGAATTCAAGACCTATTTCCCATGCGATCTGTGGGGCACCTTTGGACAAGGCCGCCATCAATGAGGTGGCTGGTAAGCAGTCAGCATTTCACTGACCAACGGCCCACTTGAACGGTTGCTCGTGTGACTGCTGATGAACAACAACAAAAAAATGTGATATCATCGCGAACTGTGCCCGAGTTAGTCGAACGCAGTGTCTATACTGGGGTCCAGAGCACAAGATAAAGTCCACCCTTTCTGCGGATTACACCTCAAAATGAAGCACCACGTAATTTTGTGGACTACGTGATAAACTTGTGAGCTGTGGGCGTTGAATATGCGCTGTAGCTCAAGCAGCGTGCTTCTCTTGGCAACGGTTTCTGTGCACTGGGCCACAAAATATAGTTCCAATCTGTTCAGTGGACCAGACCACGAACTCATTTCAAATTTTATTGTGTGGACCAGATTACCACACTAAGTTGATTCTTATTTCGTAGACCACGCTCTGGCTGTAGCGTATCTAGCCCACAAGAAGCCGCCTCTCTTGATGTCTGGTTTCTGTCACGAATGACATGGTCGTGGTGCTTTATTCCATTGATACCCTCTCCCGTATAGTTTCTATATGGTATATTCTGTCAAAAGGCCCTCAGAACACCTCACCCTTCTTCCTTGTCGGCGGCTGCTCTCGCGAATCGCCAGATTACCCTGCCGTTCTGGGTCCGTACCTCGGAGGCCATGTCCACAGGTATGAAGCATCGATGTGCAGTGATGCCATATTGAAGATAAATGAAAGGTTCGAAATGCAAGGGCAAGGCCCATCTTTAGCATAATTGGTCGGTTGATGCTTGTGATTAATATTGTATCAGCAGTGGAGAAACGCCTGGTTGTAAATTGAGAGAGTAAAGCCATCTTGGGTACACGAGTAAAAATTGATGACTGTTAAAGGCTTCTCGCCCTGATGTGTCACAGTTGAGTCACTTTCACCACAGCACACTTCTGTCATACAAACAAAGGCACTAAGAGTTGCACGGGACACTAAAATTTTGAGTAATCTTCCAGATTGTGTGGGCACAGCCACAAGTCTTCGAAAAACGGCGCCAATAACTGATGAATGGGAATAATTAAACAAATTACGGAGTTCAAAAAATTGTCGAATCCTACACGTTCGGAAAATGTCACTTTGACCGAAGTACACTAGAGTGATTCGAAAAAGCGCGATAACATTAACACGATGCAACTATAGCTGCCACAAGATATAGCAGTTTTTCAGTCGTTGATGCTAATAATGGCGCGTGCTCGCACGCACAATTAAGATTAAAATTTGACAAGTTTCGTGTCAACTGACAACCAGAAGGCCTGGCCAATTTTATTGCGCTTTTTTTGCACGCCACAAGTTTACCAGGACGAAAGTGACAAATATTCACCACTCCATTGATCAGGACTAGAAGTGTTTTTAACGCTGTTTTTCGCTATTCTTTTTTTTTTCACCGGCATGGTAGCACTGTTATTGGAGACAACGCCCGCACAGGAGGGCTTCTCGGATTCCGAAAGTTTCAGTCTCAGACAACACCCACACAGGAGGGCTTCTCGGATTCCGAAAGTTTCAGTCTCAGTCTAACATGACATGTAAAATTAATAAAAGCAAAATCGGCTTCGGATCAAGTAAGCGATCCGAGTACACTGTACGCGCCTCCCTTTTGCTGCTTTAGTTCATAACCGCTGTGATCATAACCACAAAGGTGGGCTTCGCACTTCCAACTATTCGCGCATAGAATTCTGCACAACATGTCCTTTTCAATCTCGTATCAATTAATGCAGGTGTCCTTTGTGCGAACATAACCTCCCTGGTTCGGTATTTCTTACATCACGGTTAACGAATCTTGGTATTCGTGAGAGAAAATGTCGTCGAGAAAGGTGGTTATGAGTAGAACGTTTCATCTACACTGTACGTACATCCGTGTGTACAGCGTTGTCAGATGCTCCACAGCTCATGTATATTACTGTGGAAAACAAACCAAATTTGTGTTTATTTTGTGGTCTGGTCAACAAAATAAACATAGAGTTTATCATATCATTTAAGCCACATAATAAGTGCTTCGATCGCAAACGCCACCAGTCCTCGCTCACCAAGATGCTGATAGTGAGAATCATACTGCAGCAAACAATGTGGTTGCGACAAGCAGTGTTTGTGGCCTCACTGCCAAACAGTGTGATTCGAGTGGTCCAAGAATGCTGCCCTGCGAGTAAAATCAACGCACTTAATAACGACGACGCCGTTAGGTACCTCGAGGAGTACTAAATGTCCCGAAAGTCGACGAGATAGGGGGCAAATTATGTTTTTTTTTTCACACAATCACAATAAAAAGGAGAGTGTATGCAAAAACCTATTGGCGAAATAAGGCCGCTGGCAGAGAGATGCAATTTTGTATTGTCTCTTGAACGCATGTTACGAGCCCGAATCATGTGTGGAGTCTTATATAGAGACGTGAGACATTTGCTGACATTTAGAAAGCTGACGTTTACAAAAGCAGATGATTTCGTATTTCAGCCCAGAACACTACCGCAAATGCTAGAAGTATGCAATCTATGGATCAGAGTAGCACCCACTTGATGTGCAGAATCGGCCAAAAAAGAAGCCCGAAGAAACGACACCTTTCCACAAAAGTCCGCTCAAACGAGCACTTATATGGCGTCCGCACAGTCTGCCACCAATGCAATAAACGAAGAGATATCGCTCGTGAAAGTCTGTGGCGCTTACGCCTTGTAGGCAGCAGCTGATGATCGCTCAGAAGAAGCTCTACACTAGAGTGGCTCATGAAACCCTGGGTTCGTCATACGCATCAGACCACAAGCACCTGATTTCCCACGGCCTGAGTAGCAGCTTGCCAAAGCAGTGCTACTTTCGAAACCCAGAGTACGAACACATGTACTACCCCTTCCGTGACTCCGTGTACCACGAGGACTTGTCCCCGAAGCAACAACATTTGCAGCCATACATGATATCCTCAAGCGGTAGGGCCTCAACTTCGTCTCCCTTCAAGCCCAACCAGGCCGACTATTGGTGCTGTCTGCCGCAGCACTGCTACGAGCCGCTCTCGATCTGGTACATGCATCCTATGTTCTTGTACGATGTCATCGAACACCGCAAGATGGGACCTGACACCAGAGACCTGCGCTGGATGTACAACTCTCCACATCATTCAGCTCCAGCATAACTTCATGCGCATCATGCAGGCATTCGGCGTGAACGAAAACTCGCGTGAAGCGCAACACACCATAAATTAAAAGTCGTTCTTACACTCCTGCCACGGGGTCTCCAAATACGCTACCACGATTGCAAACATCGCGCTCAAAGGCGTCATCTCCATGTACGTCGTCGTTCGCGATGGCGGGACAGACACCTAAAATCGGCTACCAGCAACAGCTCACCTCCACTGACTCTACACGTGGCTGTGATTCCCGTCCTTGTCGAGGTCACTGCAGATTAGAACAAGTGCCCTTCGACATTATCTTCATCCTCCACAAGTGCGGAAAAAGAATCATTGTCGATTCCAGAGTTCCACATCAGATGCACTTTCGAACCATGCACATGCAAAGGACTAAGTCACCCCGCAGGGGTACAAGCAGTAAATAACCTTGCAGCACCAATACAGAATCTTCAGATGCAACACCAAGATCAGCTGATAAACAACACTCTGAAGGAATATGTGAAGTATCAGGAAACCTTACGAGTCTACGACGGGAAGCATAAGCAGGACGCTTGTTACTACAAGAAACCACGCAAGCAGCGCTAAACCCACACAGGTGAGCTTTTACACAGTATGAAGGCGACCAGCAGTGCCAAGCGGGAAAGCAAGCACATCGTGTCACAGTACTAAAAGCTAAAGATGGCAGACAACGTGACCGCGAAGTACTGTAGACATAACAATGAGAATGGATCACTTCTCTTGCAAGCCCGTCGTGGCGGTTTAGTGGCTAAGGTACTCGGCTGCTGAAACCCGCAGATCACCGGATTTAATACCGGCTGCAGCGGCTGCATTTTCGACGGAGGAAAGAATGCTCTAGGCCCACGTGCTCAGATTTGGGCACACGTTAAAGAACGCCAGG